GGGCAGGCGGAGAGGACGGACGGACGAGCGAGGCAGAGCCCTGCGGAGGCAGCCTTTATAGCGGCCGGCCGGTGCCTCGCCCCCCCGCCCCCCCCCCCCCCCCCCCCCCCCCCCCCCCCCCCCCCCCCCCCCCCCCCCCCCCCCCCCCCCCCGCCGCCTCCGCCCCCCCCCCCCGGAGCCCTGCCGCCCTTTGCCAGGCTGGGCTGCGTTCCCACGACCCGCCGAACCCGGGTCAGCCTCTATTTTTTTTCCTAGCTCCCGCTTGAGCTTCCTCTCCCCCTCCCCGGGGTCGTGTGGATTCATCCCTCGGGGTCGAGACGGGCAGCGAAAGGAATGGAAGAAAACCAAGGAATCCAAAAGAAACGCCTGCAGGAACCGACCCCCAGCTGGGTGGGGGGGATGCGGGGACGCGGGTTTGCAAGGCTAGTGCCCGACCCGCGTTGTGTGAACGCGGCTGTAAAGCCCCCTCCGGTCTCCCCCTCCCCCGGAGCCCGGTATCCTAGCAACAAGCAGGGCATGCAGCAACCCATCCAGATGTGGACACGCCCACCTTTACTCTGCCCCCCCCCTTCCGCAGGGTTGAGGGACTACAATGCCACTAATCCCCCCCCCCTTCCCGGGCTGTGGATGTCTGAGTTGCAGCCCTGCTTAGGTGTGTGTGTGTGTGTGTGTGTGTGTGTCTGAGTTGCAGCCCTCCTTGGGTGTGTGTGTGTCAGTTGCAGCCCTACTTGTGTGTGTGTGTGTGTGTGTGTGTGTGTGTGTGTGTCTGAGTTGCAGCCCTCCTTAGGTGTGTGGTGTGTGTGTGTGTGTGTCTGAGTTGCAGCCCTCCTTGGGTGTGTGTGTGTGTCTGAGTTGCAGCCCTGCTTGGGTGTGTGTGTGTGTCTGAATTGCAGCCCTCCTTGGGTGTGTGTGTGTCAGTTGCAGCCCTACTTGTGTGCGTGTATGTGTGTGTCTGAGTTGCAGCCCTCCTTGGGTGTGTGGGGTGTGTGTGTGTGTCTGAGTTGCAGCCCTCCTTGTGTGTGTGTGTGTCTGAGTTGCAGCCCTGCTTGAGTGTGTGTGTGTGTCTGAGTTGCAGCCCTGCTTGGGTGTGTGTGTGTGTGTGAGTTGCAGCCCTGCTTGGGTGTGTGTGTGTGTGTGTGTGTGTGTCTGTGTGTGATCAGAAGGGGGAGAGGGCCCTTGATTCTAAAGGGCAGCTGCTTGGGGTCTCAGATGCACCCAGGGCTAAGCCATGAATGGTGGTTTACAAACCAGGTAGCAGCAGCGTTTGGGAGACCCAGCAGAACCCTTCCTAACAGAGACGGTGAGGCCGAATTGTCACAACTGGGGTACATAATACATCGCACAAAGGTGTGCAGTGGTGTCATGATGTGTTTGCTACCAACTGCGGTGATTTACTTAACAAAAAAGGTCGTAAAATGGGGACGCAAGGCTCACTTAACGAATGTCTCGCTTTGCAACAGAAATTTTGGGCTGCATTTTGGACATAAGGCGAGGACTGCACCACAAAGAGCCGGGCCAATCCAATTTTAAATCACGTCCTTCCAATTCCAACAATTATTTATTTCTTAAAGTCGCCTCCCTCTTTCGTCCATGCTAAACCACAAACTGCAAAATACAGTTTTACAACTAGGAGTCCTAATACTCCTCTCTTTAGCATCCTGTTAGCTGCAGGTTGTATTTAATTCTCCATTTCTTGCCTGGCCAGACAAATTTAGAAATATCTTTTCGACATTGCTTAAAAAGGTACATCGTCCGTCATCGATTTTGTCTGAAATAAAAATAGCGTTCTGGGTTTTAAACCTTCATCTTAATCACAGGAATTCTTCCCTACCGTGACAATTGCATTTTTTCCCCATCTTTTTTTTAAATTTCATCCCATACCTTAACACAATTATTTCGACACAACATACAATTCACATTTGTTAAAATGTTTAACTCAAAATGTTTAACCTTTTCTCTCAGTTTTAAAACCACATTTATTCATCAGATTGTCTGGACCAGGGGTAGGCAACCTTGGCTCTTTTATGACTCGTGGACTTCAACTCCCAGAATTCCTGAGCCAGCATGGCTCAGCTTGGAAACCTCTCCTTTTCCCTCAGCATGGCTGGCTCAGGAATTCTGGGAGTTGAAGTCCACGAGTCATGAAGGGGCTATAGTTTCCCCATGCTGGCTCAGGAATTCTGGGAGTTGAAGTCCACGAGTCATGAAGGGGCCAAAGTTTCCCTCATGCTGGCTCAGGAATTCTGGGAGTTGAAGTCCACGAGTCATGAAGGGGCCATAGTTTCCCCATGCTGGCTCAGGA